TCCGACGGTTGTAGACGCTCCTTCTCGAACCCAATTTAAAGCACTGTTAGACGTTTATTTATGCGAACCCTCGCGCTGGCAAGCATACCGCCCCGCGCTGAGAACATAAAGAGCAATGCTACACCCTTTTTTCACTTGTGCCTTCCAGGTGAAAGACAGACACTGACCGACAAGAATAAAAGCGACCCGGGAAACTTGGGCAAATGCCTCGATCCTGTGTATCAATCCGTGAATCCGTGAATTTGATAACCGCGTGGAACTGGCCTTGACGTGTCCTTGTTGTCCTGCAGTTACTAGTCGTTCTATCTCCTGTTCCTAATGACTTCGGACACGAAGTCTGGAGAGTTCGCAATGACGGAGTACACCACTGTGAAGGTAATTTATCATTGTATTCATACTTGATGGAAGGCGGGTTATGAGTTGCTCAATAAAAAATATCGAAGGAATCATCGCGAAATGGATAAAGGGGTCTCTGCCTTAAATAAGTCTTTGGATGAACTTGAATCAGCAACGGATATAACCAAAGCTGTAGAACTTCTTAACAAAGTCGTTAATGTTGTCAGTGGATCAAAGCGGAAGGTACCTTGTCTTTAACCCCTAATTTGTCCTAGGCTGATTCAGTTTACGCGGAGGAACTGAAACTTCTTCTAGCATCTAAACGGAGAATTGAGCACATCACTCAAGTATCTGTGCTTGACAAAAAGCTATCTACAACGGGTTAGTTACAGCTGCTTTGCTTTTTATGCACTCCACTTTGGTTGGTTTTCACCCGTCCATAGGTGATCAGCACCACCATTTAATCCAATTTAAAACATTGGGCGTCATCTGTGCGTGGCGCCTTCGGTTACCTGGTCATAGTAGTGTATCTGTCGTATCTTATCTGCTCCTTTTTCTTTGTACATACCTCCGGGTGTGACGGAAATTCGGTTCACCTATTTTGTGTGCGATGTGTGATTACACGTACGCTGGAACTTAAGCGAATGGCGCTTCTACGGGGATTCAAAACAATGACGCCCCTGTTACAGTATTTTTGGTCTCCCCACTGGGTCAGCGAAAACACTTACTGCAAGCCGCAATACTACACATGATCTCACGTGGCGCGATGCGCGTCTGCGTGGTGGATTAACAATCGGCGGGTTATATTCATAAGTTCAATAGGATGGGGACAGGATCATTAAGACTTTGCTCCTCAAGTCTCACGAGTAATATTGGGTGTGGTGAAAGCCGTCAAGAAAGCTGCTAAACGGCCTTCAAGTTAAGTTCATTGAGTTGGGAATCGAGTCGTTGCATAAAGGTCAATTGAGATCGGACAGGACGGCTTCCGAGTTTGTTTTCTAGATGCGGCTAACCGGAAAGGAGAAGCTCCTTTGGTGGTCTAAGAGAGTGTGTATTCTGGAGCAGCGAGTCTTTCGCTGTTGACTTCGGTGGTCTTTGTTTGGCCTTGCTTCAGAGTTTTCTGGCCCATTGAGCAATGGTTTGCAGGCCTTGAGGTTTACACTATATATGGGGTCTGATGTGCACGGATAGCAGTGGGGCAACAATTGGGACGTCGATAAGCCACAAGCATTGATGTTAGGGTTCCTGGGACCTTTTCGCAGCGCTTTATGCCTTAAGGCTTTGGGCCAAAATTCGTAAGGAATGTCGTCATGCTTTACCAGCACGAAAACATGGGGGTGATGGACAGATATGGAAACCTTAACCTTTGCTAATGGTCAAGGTTTATGTGAGACGCAGAAGTCAAGGTTGTCGATAGGATTTTCCACCCCCGAAATGACGACTAGTGACTTTTTGGTGACAATCCCATAAGAGGGCGAGATGGACCAAGTGGCTAGAGCGCGAATTTACTGACCGGTAGGTCCGTGTTTCGAACCCGACCTCTGCCTCTCCACTTCCCCTGTTTAGGCTTGGGCAACCTGGCAGTATCTCAGTCCTCGTGCTTCCTTCTGGTGGCATGGCAGTTAGGCGCCGAAAGGGTGCTACAGCTGAACGATTTTTTTTGCTCGAACCCGACCTCTGCTTCTAGGCTTTCCCTATCTAGACTTACCTTGGCAGTGTCCGAGCCATCGTGCCTCCTGGTGGCATTGCAGCTAGGAACCGGGAGGGTGTTATAGCTGAACGATTTCATTTTTTTAAAACTCCTGTATGACGGGAATCGCATGACAACTGTACACTTCACTGGTCATTTACTAGTTCATATCTTGACGAAGCGAAAAAATTCAGTTGACTCTGGCGGCAAACCTGGGTTTAGAAATTTTTACACCAGCTGAAAGTACATTCAGCTCCTGGAGGACATGAACATCCTCCTATCCTCAAACATTCCCGACCCAAGGCTTGTGGTGGTCGGGCTTCTGTGCTGCGATGATTCTGCGGGCTATACTGGCTGAAACTCAGTTGTTAAAGGTTCTGCCATGCAAGGAAGGCCAAAGGGAAGCAGTCCGACGAAGAACAGTGAGCCCCTGTACTGCGAGTAATCGTATTACGAGGCCGTCTGGATGTAAAGTCGTACTGTCCTCTGCGATAAAAGTGTGGAGGCAGTAAGGCGTTCCCCACAGACGATCAGCATCTCCATAATCACGGAAGCAGCAATGCTGCCTTCCCCCGAGGAAGGACGGGTTAGAAAAACCGGCCCCAAAAAACCGCACACTCCGATCGCCTGACCGTGACCGCCGGCGCATTGTCCAATACGGTCGAAATACTTTCAAAGCCAAAGAAGTCAGTGCCGCTTGAAAGACACCTGCCTTGCACAGCTGCATTGCGAATGAGACAGTAATGTTGTGTACGACGAGGGTCAGAGTGCAACGACAATCAGAATGACAATGGAAAAGACTGAGGGCCCGAAAGCTAGGCTTTATTCATCCAAAACTTTGACACTGAGAGCTGGAAGCGGAAGAAAGTGATTTAGCAACAAATGATGAAACGTTTGAAAAACAGAGCAAATATATAACA